ATTACCCCCCCCCCTCCCCCCTCCCCCCAGGGTTAGGTCGCGAACGATTAATTTACTTCACCCTTGCCGAGAATCGCCGGTCGCCTCTCGTGGATCGGGAGATTCCATTAGCGAATAAAACAAGCCTTGCGTATTCCGTGTGCGTAGGGAGGAGACAGCATGGCGAAGGAAATAAAGTAAACCCTTAGGGACTGCGGGGAGCGGGGCGAGGAAAGGGTGCGGAGATAGGGGAGCGCTCGTGAAAGAGAGAGAAGGACGTTTCGGGCGGAGGGTAACAGGTACTCGAGGATCCTTCGCTCAAGGTAACTCAATTTCGAGGATGAAATTTAATTGAGAAACTACATGACTGGACATATTCGACCCAAGTACCGCCTATAGTCGACTCACCGAACTTTCTTCTGTTTCTCCCCTCTGATTGGTTATTTCTTGTAACGAGGCACGCGCACTGGCACGGTACTTGCTTTCATAACTAATTTCGCCCTTCAATTGGGTTCTCGTACAGGGCTGCTTCTTGGGACAGGGTAGTATAAATAACGTGGTATAAATTTGCGTGCTTTGGAAATTGCATTACGGCGACCTATGACATATCCGTGGCAAACTTTGTGTTTCGATTTGGTGACAGAGATGATGATGGATTAAAATGGAAATTGAGTTTCAGAGACGGAGAGAGGAAAGTAAACACGCGTTATCCTCTAGGAGTATACCCATTAAAAGCATTAGCTCGTGAATAGGATAGAATTTTGAAAATTAAAAATAGAGAGAAAACCAGGTTGAATAATTACGTGAGTAGGTTCGAGGGAAGTTATAATTTTTGATTTGCCAGATAAGAAAAAAAAAAAAAAAAAAAAAAAAAAAAAAAAAAAAAAAAAAAAAAAAAAAAAAAAAAAAAAAAAAAAAAAAAAAAGTGTAGACGTACGAATAATTAAATTTTTATTTTATCACAATACTTTTTATTTTCTCGTAATTTTGAAAATTTTTTTCAAACTCGTTTTTCGACCTCAACCAAAATTGTCTAAAGCGCAGAGCCTCTCGTTATCGTGCCCCGTTGTACCGGCTTATAAAGAGCTGCACGGAAATGGTGAAAGGGAATGAAAATGAAAGGAATGAAAACCTCATAGAAAATACGTCTTAAAATAATTCACATTTAGTAAGAGGCAAACACGGTCGTGTTATATCTCTACTGGATTTTCCCTGGCGGAACGATACTCGAGTGGGGTAGCAGGGGGGAGGAACGTTAAGTGCTCTAGAGCTGCCTGAAGAATTACCGAGGTCAATGTCAAGGGTCATTCCAGTCACTAAGATTATAAGAACGTCGATAGGCAAATTTTCACCTGACTATACCTATACACGTATAGACTCCATGCAGCCCTTGCATACACGGAGTCGGTTCAATGACGATAGATCCCATCGGACGTTTCCATAGAGTCGGCAAACTATTCAGCAGATTAAAAAAGGCGATTTCACCGTATTGTACCGCGATAACTAGTGACCCGACGCTCGAGAGGTTAGTCGTTCCAATTTCACGAGTACCCTGGCGCTCTGTTTTGAATTATTTTTTTTTTTTTTTTTTTTTTTTTTTTTTTTTTTTTTTTTTTTTTTTTTTTTTTTTTTTTTTTTTTTTTTCGTTTTTCAAAATCGCTCTCGAACTTCAAAATCTGAAAAAGTGCTCGCTGCAGGAGGAGGGCCAAGGATTTTTTTTAAAACGGTCATGTACGTATTTATATATAGATATACGTAGTGCCTATAACACAGTTATGCATCTGTACGCAAGGAGGCGCAGTGCTTCGTAAAGTAGGCCAGTATTCCATTTTTGGCATTTTAGTTCAGTGCCAACGGGAACTGCTGCTCTGCCGGCACTTTAGTTTCTTCCTAATACTTTTTTTCATTTTTTAGATCAAAATCACGACTGGCTCATCGACCATTTTCAAATTCTTCTTGGAAATCGGACTGGAACGGTCTAAGTGGTGCAACGTACTTTTTCATCCTGGGGCTGATCTACGTCACATTCGGCCGTTCGCTCTTCGTGCGTCCGCAAGCCAGGCGGACGTCAGCCAATTCTTTTTTCAACGCGACCTGATGACCCCGTACTACCTGGCAGTCGAGGTGGTACAGTCTCAGCATCGAGAGATCGGAATGTCACGTGACACTTAATCTTAAGACTATGTTAAAACTATGGTAAAATTTTTTTAAACGTATCGTACACGTAAAACATGTGCACCAAATTTCTGCCATGACACTCGGCCCAGTCGTGAACGCGAGGCCCGTAAAGAGTTTCCCCAGATAGCGTTACCCTCGAGGGTTCAACCCCTGGCAAATATTTACTTTCCTCGAGTTCACTTGTTATCGAGGAGCCATTGTATTATTTCGTCCGCGACGAGAAACTTTTCTCGAACGTAGCAGCCGACAGTACAGCGTACACGTGGTTAAATGGATAGACGGGATAAGTGAGATTAAAGGATAGAGAAGCTTGTGAAAAATACTAGAAATTTTGTTTTTAAAAAAATAAAAATTATAAATACGTAGACGTTCCTAGGTGCTACTGTATTTTTTTAATGATTTAGACCGACTTGAATTTTTAAACTCGGAAGGAATTTCTTATGTGTTTTGCGGTAGCACCGAAACCCAAGCGAGTCGTCACTCTACAGCTTTGCCGCCATCCTTGATCCCAATGTTGTCCCATGGTATTTACCAAGTCGAGTAGATAAATTGCAAGTCTCTAGTAAACAAGCGTACAGGTAGTCCATAGACCAGTAACGGAAGTACTGGCGCAAATACCGAAACGTCTTCGGGATCTGGCGAAGCGAGTAGCAGGCGTCGGTAAAGTCGGTAGCTTCTTATCGACATAAGCGCACGTAGAGCAGCCCTGTGCTTCTTCAGGGAATACGTACTTCGAGCATCGATCCAATTGCACGTAGAATTCGAGTTGGCAACACTGACCGAAGGATTTAGCCATTCGAGAAAAACAATGTTGCAAGTCATTGGAAGGACGTTGCACAGTAAATTTTGGTGAAAAAAAGAAAAAGTCCACAGTCGAACTTTAGGAGCTCTGAAAACAGTTCGGGACTCGTAGAAGTCCACTACTTCGGTATCACCGGCAAAGTCCTACATAGAAATTCGAATCGTCGTTAAATAAATTTCTTACCCAGTAACGAAGTTTATAAAAATGTCAGGATCGTAACCTCTGTTAAAAAAAAAAAAATTATTTGGAAATCCGACAGCGCTCAGCCAAGTGAATCCACTGTACGTCAGACAGTAGCGTGTAAGAGGGGTTTCGGTGAGTAAGAAGAATAAAATTAAAGCCCAGGAAAATGAGAGACGCAGTAGGCGGATGAAGTTGGAGTCGGTGTACAGGCTGCGTAACAAGTCTAAAGAAGTCTGGCTGGGAAGATAGGAAACAGTAGTCGTCGAGTGTTGCGCTCGCACAGATATTGATCGCCGAGGTCACGCAACAGGCTGCTTGTCAGGCGAACCATCAGGCGAGCCTCCTGCCCCCTGACCCTGCACCCTTGATTTCACTTCTATGCGTGCCCACGCGTACTCCATATCCGTCTGACCAGATACAAAGCAGCCAGTCGCCTTAGCCTGTCCGCTTGAATACCTAACCTCACCCGTCCACACTCCCCGGAGAACCGCAACCGGCCGCATCCTTGTCCCGTCCACGTGCTGCATCGAGAGATACGTTGTATCCATACAAACCAGAACGGAATTGATATCGGGTAGAATGTCTGACAGCTATGACGTCATGCCACCAATCAATCTCCCATCCATCGATAATGGGGTGCCGTATGCTTGGAAATAAAAATTATTATTCCTAGTATTACTATCGGATTACGGATATTACGTGCACGTGGATGAGCTTTGGACGTGATCTGGTGTAAATATGGAAAATAAATGGAAAAATAATTATTTTTTAAGGGGGGGTCGGACTATAATTTTTGCTTCGATATCCTATTCTTGGTCGCGCGATCTCGTATCTCTGTCTCTCTTTGTAGAACGGTTATCAGCTTTAACGAGTATTGCCTTTATGACCAGGCAAATCCTATGAGCGAAACCGGAAGCTCTGGGCTTTGAGCTTTACTATGGGAAGGTACGATGGAACGCGGTGGAACATTGCCCAGAGAGAATATCTGACTGATTATTATTGGCCTGTCTTTGGGCTCGGTTAGTCACAATGGGATTATTTCGAACTGGTTGGCTGCATTAACGAACTGTATTTTTGGGTATAGACTGGAATATCGATCGGGTGTTTTAAAGTTTGAGACTTTCGTATCGATGTGCCGGACTCGTATGGTAAATTATTGATATACCGATGGAATGTAAAGGCGTGTACGCAATTGTGAAAAGTGAGCGGTGAACGAGGCTGAAATAAAAGTATTCAGGCATAAGGGTTGCACGGTTGAACGAAGTGCCGATCCCTGCTGGTTTTGTTTGTAAAATGTCCCTGTGAAGGCTTTGTCAAATGGGATATGGTATATTGGCGCCTTGTTATAACCTACAATGTAACGATCCGTGGGTTCGCGTGGAGGTCGGGTAGGTGTAGGATAAAGCGTAGCGAAGCTCCGGTCGAATATACAAATACTGGTGGATAGTGTATTTGCATGGGGGACATATGACCGTTTTAAATTGGTACGCTGGCGCGATTGCCGGTGTAATAATGAACTACGAGGGAAATGGATTTGATTGTTTAAACAACCCGGTAGGCGGCGGAGATGAATTGGAGAAAAATTGTGAGGAGTAACTTTTTCGATTGTTCGGCTCAGCGTATCATTTGCTCGCAAATCCGAGTGACGGTTATATCGACGTCATTTACATCCATTACATTGGAGTTCGATAGAGAAGGAAACGATTAATCAACTTTCATAACGCATAACGATGCTGAGCACCTGGCCCTACTCCAATTTGCCAGCTTGATAAATTGTTCCGCGCAGCGACTGTCGAATAAATAATGTAAGATAAGTCAACAAAAGATTGTACACGGTGGGAAATTGTCGATTGGGAAATTATTGGTATTCGTAAAGGCGATTTTCAATGTGCGCGACGATCGCGATATACTGTGAATGAATTTCTTTTTTTAATCAATGGATTCGATCGATTTTTATGCTGTTCAGAAATTGAAGGGACTTTTTATTTGTTTGCTCGAGGTTTTATAAAATTGTGGTTTTGTTATTTCGAATTTTCATTCGAATTACAGCGGAATCAATTCAATGTTATGTATATTCCTTATCTTGTCTTCGATATCGTTCCTGGTATCGGCAGTTTACTTATATACGATTTTACTTACGTTAGCGAGACTCTAGTATATCTATAGTGCAAAGTGAAACGGGAATTCAAAAATGTTTTCCCCTAGTGCCAATTACGTAAACAATGTTTTCCTTATTTTTCGAGCATGAAGCACGGTATTTGAAAACGGACGAAGGCTTTTATTTTGAAAAAAAAAAATTTAATTTTTGGTATAAAAAAACATTCATGGTTTGGTAGATTTTTTTAATTTTTGGAAATTTATTATATGAATTTGTTTTTTTTTGGCTTTTTATCAGTCGTTATTACGTGTACTAATTTTTGCCATGGTAATTTTTTTTTTTTATTAGGCTCTTCATGACGTTACGTTCCTTTTATATTTTCAGTCTTATCTTTCTTTTCGCGAAGCAGATACGATTGCGAAAAATGCTATTCCGCCCGTGCTAATTTACTAGTGACGCAATGTCCCTTCGTGTTGAGCAGTTGTGTACGTGCAAGGGAAATTAGAATATAAATAACCAGTCAGAATATCTGCGACTTATTCCGTGACAAATCGATGACTCGACATACTGGCAGACGTGAATATTTTTCGACTTCAGTTAAAATTGCAATTTTTGTTTACACATTGAAATTGTAGTTACCTAAAATAAATTCGATGCACACAGAAGTACAAGGAAACCTCGAGAGTCGATAGCGAGCGGGAAAAAAGGTTGTGTAACGATAGGGATTTTTTGAACGAGGTAGGTGATAAGGATTGAAAAGGGACAACGAGCCCGACAACCCGCAATCAATTTTTAACTGTCAACCACCGTAGTCCGTACAATCAGAGAGGTCCGATTGTACAATCTATGGATTAGAAAGTTGCATAAGTCCTGTCAATTATCGAAGTTGGTAAAAGTAAATCAACTATCCAACCATAATATCGAACTTGGATTAAATTGATCTTCGTTAAATGTGACAAAGTGCCTCCTTGCTATTGATTATTGAGTTAAACTTACAAGACCTAATACTATTGTACTTATCAAAAGTTCTTACCGATACTTAATACAGTTAGCATAGAGACGAATTTACCAAAGTTGATTGTAACTTTTCTTATTGGGCGTCAGCGATAAGAGGGGCTCGTTAAAAATTGAACCGGGCTCATTTTAACAATGAAAATTCACGTCTCCACGTGTATTTTGCCAAGAAAAATTTTTTTTCACGTAATTTTCAAAACTCACGATCCATTATTTCTCAATGAGGTAAAAATCTGTTTAATTAGCTGAATAACCGATATCGTGACCAACGAGAGGCAGTAATAATTACAACCGACGTACATCACGTGGTTATACATTACTTGGTCATACTCCAGAAACGCTCTGGATTTAGTTTAAAGGGACGACTCGAGGGAAAGGATGATAGTTATTGGCTCTAAGGATCTCGACCAATCAGAATGATTAGTTCCCGAATTTAACTATTGTCAAATCAGTCTGTCATCAGTCTGTCTTGGGACACCGATCGGGGTGCCTCGAGCTGCCTCGCGCTCCCGGGCTAAGTGTTTACAGTTTTTCTAGCCGTGTTTCCTATACGGTACAGGAAGTTCTCGCGTTGCTCGTCGCTATATCCTGAAAATCCGCGATATTTTCTGCCTGCGTTTCGGAAGTGCAGTGTTGTGCTACAGTGAAGTGTTGTGCTACAGTGCAGTGTCCACGTGACTGTCCCCTGGATGCAGTTCTCGGCCTTCACCGATCAGCTGATCCAGCTCCGGCGAGTACTCCCAATATATTAATCGGTGGAGGGATTTCGATTTGACAGCTCCGATTCGTTCTGTCACGTTCCTCCGTCATTCGCTCTCTGTATTCCGCACTATTTACCCGACGCTCACTCCGAACCCTCTACTTCAACCTGGCAGCCTGAGCGGCTGTGCATGCCTGTTCGTGCATTCAGTTGCGCTTGCTGTTTTTACCCGGCCCCAAAAGATCAGCACCTTGTTGCGGCTGTAGACTTTGAGAAAGTGGACTAATTTTTTCATATTTTCTTTCACAAGCCGGATTTTCACTATTCAGTTATAATTACCACGAACTCGACTTTTGCGCGTATACGAATGACACGTTGAATTCAATGGCAAATGTGATTTTAACGTTCAAATACGTCGCGGCGTACTGACGTACGTAAACACAAAGGCGCGTTTACATCGTGTTCATCGAATACGTCGAGCGCACCGGTTTCGTATAATTCGCATAGTTCCCACAGTTCCCACAGTTCGAATAATAATGATGGCTGCGGATTTGAAACTGCCGATACCCCGTTCGTGTACGTAAGTGGGTCTTCGTGTACTGTTTTTTGAAATTAATTTCAACGAATGAAATCAAACATACGTTCGAGCATTGATATCCGGTAAATGACTGTCCTCCGGGAAAATACGGTCGTTTGGATTGAAAATATAGATTGTTATATAAATATAAAAAAAAAATTTTACTACATGAACTAAATTCAAGGTCTGTATTAGTGACCAAAAATGGAATCCTCAATTTCATTTGACATTTTTTGGAAATAGAATAATTGACTACCTCATTTTTTGCTGCGCAAAGATCTCAGCTTCTTATCGCACATTAGCCAGTCTTATCGTGCTGGGATATTTAGGCAGGTATCCGTCATCTGATGGAAATTTTCGGCAATAAGGAAAACTCTTCCGACCTGACCTGCAGGAGCCGGATGGAGACTGCCAGCAGGTGGCAGGTTCTCTGCGTATCGATTTCTTACGAATCTAGCCGGGCTTGGAATCGCTATATGCCGGAGCCTCCAGTAAAGCGGGAGGAAGAGTCTCGGGCGTCCAAACCATCGAAACTTAACGTAACGTGAAGTTTCTGCTTTGATTTTGTTAATTATACATAAAGACGGAAACGATTGAAATATTGTTTATTGAAATTTCATTGAGACCTTTAATTTCATGAAATCTGTCTGTCAATCTTTAAATCAATGGATATTCATTTTCTGTCTACGTCATTCACGTTACAAATTTTTGGATTGCAGTATTTTTTTTTTTTTCACCAATTATTTACTGCTTTCGTTGACTTACCAGACACTGATATTACGGGTACGTCACGAATGCTGCCAGATTAATTTGGCTTTAGTACGTGATCAAAGTACTACTTGCACGCGTGCATCTTTTTTAAGGTTATGACTTAGAATATATATATAGCATAGGCTTTACGTTGAAGAAGTTTTTGTCATAATTGTATATAAAATTTTTGAAAATTTATTTAAGGACATACGCTCGTTTGTATAAAATTTTTTTTATTATTTTTAATCATATATCAGTTGGGTAGTACTGAACAAAAATTTTTTTTTTAATGTCAAAGTAGTAACGGCGTGTCTCCTGCAGCCGAAAAAAAGGTTCCGACCTTCCAGTCGTGTAAAACATCGATTAAAGATTGGACGTCTGGTGACGCAAACAATGACCTGCATGTCGACCCCGCATATTCTTAGATGACTTAATTCGCAATAATCTCTTAGTTTTTTTTTTGCGGTCATTTTTCCTATTAAAGGAATGAAGGGATGTCCAAGTAGGTAGAAACATATATATATATATATTAATTCCTGTGTCAATTAGAAAGTCACTCTAATTGGATTCTGCTAAGCAAACATTATAGTTATACCAATTATAATATCACGGAAGTATAGGCACTTTCAAGAACATTGGAACATGATAAATCCATAAAATTTGTGACAGCCTGTATAATTATTCATAGTACTATAGATACGTCATTTCAATCAGATTGATTGTGCATATTCAAGACCGATAAAAAATGTTGTAAAAAGTGCATCTGGATGCATTGTACTTTCAGTATGATTAGACGAATAAACATAAAGGGAGCATGAATGCATAAGCCCCCAAAAAAAAAAATAATAAAATTTCATCCGTACCTCGATGCCTCTCAAAACTGAAAAAAAAAAATAATAATAATATTGAAATCTTTTACATTGCCAAGTATACCTCATTCATAAAAAAAGAAAACCCATAAAAGCCCCATTTACGTATTAGACACCAGAGTGACGTTTTCCCGGTATGAAAATGACTGACAGGTCAGGAGTAAGGAAAACTTATTAAAAATGCAGATATTTTTCAGAAGGTAAAACGAAATGACGTGTGAGGCTCGAAAAGTCAAAATTCAAAAGCAGGTAGATTCCCGCGCTATTTTTAAACTCAGTCCTGGCGGCTCAACCCTTACCGGTCACACTGCAGTGGAGTTTTGATAAGGATCGCACGTTACGGCTGGGGTCACCGAGACCCCATGCGACCGTTAAGGGTTAATGGTATGCAGACACGAGATCGAACGTTCGATAAATCGAAGGTTGGGCTTAGCCAATGGTAAACGCGAATTCGAGGAGTAAATTTTCTCATGTGTTCATAAATAATATGAAAATCATCCGATCGGTGATACAGCCAGACAATAGTCCGGCTGGTAAATCTTTCGCTAGGTTTGCGAACACTTCGTATAGTTCGTAGTGTAGAAGACTGTAGATATACGTAAGCACGTGTATACATATAGGTATACTTATGTGTTCCTAGGTCGTAAAGCCAATTGACCCCTAAACGGATTATATTGAAACAACAATTTGATAACTGCATCACATAACAAGATGCGGGCCGGTTCTACTTGTAATCAGAGCAAGTTACAAATGGGCGGCTGTGCAATTGTTAACGGAAGAGACTCGTTATCCCCTCAACTGTACCGACCAATCTTTACCCTCTTGCTGGCTCGACGCTCGGTTGCGACGTAGTCATTAAATCCGGCTGATCCGTTGTTGCATTGAAACTTATCCTACGTGGGGACTTTCTCGACTACGGATTGCCATTGTTTCCTTTTTTTCTACCAGCCCAGCGAATAGCGCGCAGTGTCTACCTCTGCAGTTTAACGATAGTACTAAGCTCCGGGAGACTTTCCAATTTTCATAATACCTCTTCTCCCTTTTTATTTCCCCATCGCGATTGGCTCGCCGTTAATCAAACGGCAGCGACCGGTCGGTCGTGGATCAAGATTAACATCTGGAGCCGCGAAATTATTTGAATAGAACGGAAAGTTTACAGCGCCGTCTGCGCGATAAAGCCGGGAGTGGCTTGGCGGAGTGTCAATGGGGTTTTAATAGTAATGTCAAACCAATGAATATAGTTTTGAAATGAGTTTTAGTTTTGATAAGTTTATAAAATTTCGTTTCACTGTTTACCCAAGCATAACGCGATATCAGTGTATTTTTTCCATGACGAATGATAGTTTGGAGAAGAAATATTAGTTGTAATATTTTCTAAATTTTATTTAATTACAACTGAATACATTGAGCGTATACCTATAGTTTAGCTATGTACAGATATAGGTCTAACGTATTTCGTGTTTGAACTTGACTTGAGTTTGGCAAGGACTTTCGGGCTGTGTAACGGCGAAGTATGTGCAGAGAGATAGAGAGAAGAATAAAACGATGCAGAGGAGACCGAAGTCACGTTTTATCGAAGAAGACAGTCGAATGAACGAAGAAGAGACTGGCGCTCGGGCGGCGGAGGTTATATCCATGGTGAGCGGGAGTGCGACTTCCTGTGCGCGCGTCTCGCCCTCCGTCGCCGCCGTACGCTACGTCAGTCGACCCCGTGCATTGCGGCACGCCGGTCGCCGCGCGAACATCCTCCGGTATTCTTTTGCGTTGGGTGCAGAAAGACTAGTAAAAGGCGCGTGAGCTATCGCGACAGAGTGAGCGAATAGTATTTGAGAAAAAGAAAAAAAAGAAACCAGGACAGAGGAATTTGACAGGCTCGCCAGAGAGGTGGAAGAAGGTCAGAGGAGGAAAGTGGATGGTAGGATAAAAACGGCGTGCAGTTCTGTGCGTGTTTTCGGGAGCGAAGGGACATCGAAGAAAACATCGAGAAGGGAGTGGACTGACTTTGAATAGGGTAGGATAACAGTGAGAGAATCGAAAGAGACAAAAGAGGTGTGTGCGTGGGGTTAGTGTTGCGTGTGTAAAAGTGCGTGCTAATACAAGAGAGAGAGGGGGTGTGAAAATAAGGAGAGAAAGAGAGTGACAGGGTGTTAGAGGGCGGGACGGTGAGGCGAGAGGAAAGCAGCCTGCGAAACCGCGTCCCCCACTTACTAACTTGTTGAGTCTCTGGCTGTGTGCCCGGGTGCAGGGCGATACCGCGCGAAACGAAAAAAGGCCCGTTTTCAAAATGACGGCCTCAGTGCTGTTGTTGCTCGGATTGGGACTGGCTGTACGGGCGAATACGCGCGACGTACACAACGATCCTCTGGTCGTCGAGACTACGAGCGGTCTGGTGCGAGGATTCTCGCGTACGGTTCTCGATCGCGAGGTTCACGTGTTCTATGGGATTCCATTCGCGAAACCTCCGGTCGGCCCTTTACGTTTTCGAAAACCTCTGCCGATTGACCCGTGGCACGGGGTGCTCAACGCCACGACTTTACCCAACAGCTGCTTTCAAGAGCGTTACGAGTACTTTCCTGGCTTCGAGGGCGAGGAAATGTGGAATCCAAATACAAACGTCTCCGAGGATTGCTTGTATTTGAATGTATGGGTCCCGCAGAAGACCAGGCTCAGGCACAAGGGCACCGAACCGTTTGGCATGGACAAATCGAAGGTACCGATACTCGTTTGGATTTACGGCGGAGGATATATGAGCGGTACCGCCACTCTCGATGTTTACGACGCGGACATTATGGTCGCTACTAGCAACGTGATCGTCGCCTCGATGCAATATCGGGTCGGGGCCTTTGGATTTTTGTATCTTAACAAGCACTTCGCCAACAGCGAGGAAGCACCGGGTAACATGGGCCTGTGGGATCAGGCTCTTGCTCTCAGGTGGTTACGCGACAACGCTGCTGCTTTCGGCGGCGATCCTGACCTTATTACCATTTTCGGAGAGTCTGCTGGCGGCGGTTCTGTCTCTCTTCATCTGATATCACCCGTGACGCGGGGTCTTGTGCGTCGTGGCATTCTTCAGAGTGGCACCCTTAACGCGCCCTGGAGCTTCATGACGGGCGAGAAGGCCAACGAGGTCGCTCGTGTTCTCGTGGACGATTGCGGATGCAACTCGACGATGCTCCTGGAGAACCCCGGCCGGGTTATGGCCTGCATGAGGTCGGTCGACGCGAAAACCATCTCCGTGCAACAGTGGAACAGCTATACGGGGATTCTTGGATTCCCATGCGCTCCGACCATCGACGGCGTCTTTCTGCCCAAGCATCCGCTCGATCTTATCAAGGAGGGCGACTTTCAGGAAACGGAAATATTAATTGGAAATAATAAGAACGAAGGTGAGACAACGACATTTTACTTACGTTTGATTTCTAACGCAATTATTATGATTTTATTTCGTATTACGAACTCTCGGCTCACTCGCACTTGACAGCTACTTCCGGATCAAAGAATACTTTGTTTCAATTCCAATTCTTTTACGTCTGTTACTTGCGTCCGCGCTGTTCTTGCATTCTACAAATTTGATCCCTCTTACTCTTCATTCTCATTACCCTCTTCGCTAATTCTTCAAGTATTCTTCTTCCACGTCTAACGGCTCGCGACCTCGTAGACAATATTACTCGACCGTATATTTCTCTTGCTTGTCGATTCAGCGCAGGTTACTCTTTTATACCTAGTATTTTGCTTTTTATGCACACAAGTGCAGGTATATATTTTATGTGCCAACATTGCACCATACTTTGCACCAGCATTGTAAAGTTATACCACAAACATTAAAAAAATGTTAAGCCTAGAACGCCTGTGCAGGATCCTGGACTATAAATTCCATTCTATCCTATCCTATAAATCCTATAAATTTGTGAACTTTTCACATTTTTTTGTAAGCTTCGCTTCTTCCGCAGCTTAAAGCTTCGAAAATATTTATCGAACCTAATGCTTGAATACACTTTCTTGACAGTCGGACCGTGGCGTATCGATTAAAAAATAAAAAGTCGAATATCTGCAAGAAAACTGGCACAGGTTAAAGAGATACATTTGCGTCGCGTTGTTCGCTTCAATTTCTTTCGTGCGACAAGCTGGAGCGTAATGCAATCATTTATTTCTGACGCCTCGCACTTTGCTTCCCGTCGCAGCGCTGATATGACACGTTAGAGCATGAAAATTGGTCAGAGAATAGTGACCCGTGTAAAGATAAATTTGTTGTTTACTTCTCTTGCGTTTCTACGTGCTTTGCCTTCTCTTTAATCTTGACGCGCGATATTTTCTATTTTGGCGACAAACGCTCTGAATATTTAATATCGAGTTAAAACTCTATCTGGAACGACCTGGTTTCATTTAATACGCGACAGATTGATTCGTAGCTATTTTTAATCTTTCGGCGCGAAATTCAAACTGGGATATTGTATCTATGCAAAGTGCGTCTAGGGATTTCGCTATTAGAATATAGTGACTGTTTGAAAGTCGTTAGATTTCATAGAGGGTCGTGTCTTTCCGAATGACAATTACGTCGAGGGAGCAAAATGTCGGATTGGCAATAAAAAAAAAGTCATAAAATCCACACGACATTCGTACGTTCATACCTCGGTGCTTGCATAACCTAAAAATTTTCAAAAGTCCAATTTCTCTTGGATTTTTATTTTTTTCACTGAGATTTCAATTAGGATTTTACTTCCTTACAGTATACTTATAAAATTCGACCTAGTTACGCCTTGTTACCGAGCTTTCGTATAATCGTGTACTTTTTTTTCGCGATTAATTTCTTGCGTAACAGCCTACTATCTTTATCGTAGGTCTTTCCCTTGTTTCACTAGGATGAAAAGTCTAGGGAATTTCTATGTAATTTTTATACGTACGATCACTTGAAGATAATCGTAATGGGATTTTATATATGGGCTCCGTGCATCTTACAAGCTGCTAGTAACGCTAGTAAGGAGCTACTTCAGGTCGTGCGTGCACAAGACGCATAAAAATGACTTCCTGCAGGAAAATCTTATCGTCGGAACGGATATAAGTAGGAAGATATAAAAATCCCGAAGCACCATTAATAATCCCACTTTGAGATATAGGAGCGTGAGAATTTTATAAGAAAATTTCATCAAGCAACTTTCGATCGTAATTACTCTGCTGAATTTTATTAGCAATCTCGGACGAGGGATCGGGCTGATCGAATTACATTCCTTTCGGGACCAGGAGCGTCGATCGATTCGATTTTCAAAAATGGAATATTGCAGTTTACAAAAATTGAATGGTAAATCATATGCGTATGCACTTTTTGCAAGCTGCACCGTTATGCGAAATAATAAGCAAACATAGGTATACGAATTGAATTCAATTTTTGATAATTTCGTCTGTGCCTCGTGCTCCTTTTTTTTCGCGATTATTCCTTGCGAAATTTCAATTTCAGTAATTTACCAATTTACACAAATATTTGTGCGCTTAGGTTCGACATGGACATTGCATGTAAATTGCAGTCATATTCATTTCGTATAATTTTGTATGATTTGTATGATTTTTCTTATTGACAAATGATATAAAGTCCATGGGTGTCGCTTGAAAATAAATTTTTTGCCATTTTCCCATAACTCTTTTCAAACATCGAGATACGTTCCACAAAATTTACTCATGGACGATACATCGGGTGGTCCGAGAAATGTCAATGCAATCCTACCAGGAATAACGAATAGAAGCCTTCCTCGTACACTTCACTATATCACCCGACCACGCACCGCCCTCCATTGATTCAACCTTTTCTTGCATGAATATTCCAACTTGTCACGTGCTGAAAAGTATCACGCCTATTGCATAAGAAATGTTGCACTCACGTGTAACACAACGTTATACTATCCCAGTGCTTGGAGTATAGACCAACCACGGTGCAAGTAGCGATACAGCAATGATATCGACGAGTAGAAAAAACCCCGACTGACCTTATCGTATATACGGATATTAAGAAAAAAAAAAAAGAAAAAAAAAATTCCCTAAATTAGAAAATAATCTGAAAAATTATATAATTTCTAAAAAATTTCATAATGAGCACCATTGAAATTTTGACAATTTCCATACCCAATGCAATTTCCATCGATGTGAAATCGCATCTTCTTATACCTGGGTTAACCGTCCAATTGAAATCTTCCTTAACGGCGTCTCAATGCGGATTGACGTTGGCAAAGCCCCGGATTAACTCTTCGATTTAATGAAATTAATTTGCCCGACGCCCCGCGCTTTTCAAATTTCCGTTTAGTCGCGATAAAGTAGCCAGCCGATAGTCCGCCGTCCCACCCGTTAGCGTTTAGACGCCTCGGTCAGTTACGTCTGACGCGGTAGGACCGGTGACACTTCGAAGGCTGTTGCGGCTCCGTTCATTAAGGTTACAGGATTTGTGTCGGTGGCGCGAGGTAACGAGAACGTGGCAAACGAGGGAAATAGGGGCATGGGTCGGTGAGGGGGAGGTTGGGGAGAGGGGGGGGCCGTGGGACGGTAAGGGGAAAGAGGGACGCTGGGACGGAGGATAGGTGAGAGAACGTTAATTAACGTGGTTGGCTAATGTGGTTAGGTTTACCTCAAAATCTACATAACCGAGTATATCATAGGACTCTGAAAAGTTTCATTCGAAGATCAAATGGACTTTATACCTTGTGGGTATAAATCCCCTTTTTTTTTTTTCGTCGCTCGATTCTGAATACTGAAGAGTCGGTCGAGAAGGCGTTGCTTTTAGAAACATTGGTTATTTATGCTGTTTGACTTTGATGTTAATTAACACTGCCTGTGGCTTCTGTGTGTATATATATATATATTTGCGTATTCAATAAGTTATTGCAATCTCCTGTGTACTTTTCAATTTCTTGATTACATTGAAATATTCACTTTATTGATTACATTGGAATTTATGATTTTCGTGGTTTCCGGTGGTCCGAAGCATTTGCCGATAGACCGGCTGTTTCAGACGGAAGGTTCAGATCATTTGTGACAATTGAAATTGACTGATTTCATGAAATTTTTTTTTTAGTTTTTTATCGTCAGAAATATGAGATTTAAAAAAAAATATTTTACAAATTCTTGAGCTCACCGAGAGTCTCGCCGGTTCGCTACGTTCGTGCATGTGGAAATGGGGCTAGGAATAGAATTGCGTGAAATTGAAGTGATTAGCAAGGGACAAAAAAGGGGTTTGAAACGCGTTACGGTTCTTCGTTGTCAACTGGAGCATTAAATCGCAGGGTATGCGGATATATACGAAACGGATTGCGCGAATGCTCGTAGCTATTGTCGCGGTAGTGTTTAATTAAAATTATCTCAGTAAATTAAGTTATGCGAGCCGCCTCTATGGCAGCTATGGTGGCGGATATACCGAGACCACCGATAACGCCTGGGGCGCACGGCTAGGAATTCAGGTTTTGGGTCGGTACGGTGGATACGAGATACGCAAAGTTTATCGCGCGTGAGAGCTCGTCCTATAGATATTTTTTTCACGAATTTTGAATAAAAAAATTAATTACCCGAAATTAATTATTTATAAACAAAATTCTATCCATTATTTCATCAGTCGCGATATACCCCCGTTGCCGATGGAATTTCAAATTTTACCGCTCTAAATGACATTGATGATTCGGGAGGAATTTGGAAAATGTTATTATTATTTTTTAATATCGTTATCACGCGCAGTTTTGATATCGTGCATTGCTTATCGCTATGGGGTATTTTGATGTATATATTTCCATTGACATCTCACTCCCATCACATACCTGAGTATGAACTCACGTGGTGACATTTACAAAATCGATATTGTCTGCCTTTGATCCTGGATAGCGTCATCAGTCATCCCTCAATTTTTACGGGACACCGATACGTCCTTTTATTCTATTGTCATCAATTCCCCCTTTTTCTTTTTATCCACCTCCGTCAGTCCGCGCATTACTTGCATCTACGACAGAAGTCAACCCGAACTTACGTGGGACCGAAGTAATCGGTCGCGATAGGCTTTTTCGCGATTAATCAAAATTTTCAGTCATCTATAATTTGTTGGAATCTCGGTAAAAATGAATATCGAGAAGGATGATTTTTTTTTGAAATTTTCTTTATACTATACCGACCCCGAACTTTTCGAGACATTTGGATGCTGGCTCAGCTGCCGAGGTCACGTAGAAATGACCCGAATTCTCATTGGGGTTGCGGAGGGGGGGCCGGTCCAGCTTCACCGGTCTTAGACGGCGGGGATATATGATTGTCCAGCTGGTCGTTAGCGCTACGTGACTTTAATACAGGCTCAAGTATAACTATATATGCGAGTCTAGATTTTATTACGAGCTCAATTTATTCAATAAATCCCATAGCCATCGGAACG